GCGCAACCCCAGCTCGGACAGTCTTGGTCGTTGTGTACTTGGGCAAGACACTTCACCTGTTGCCTACTGGTGGTGGTCAGAGTGCCCGGTGGTGCCAGTGTCCGGCGGCCTCAAGACATTTTGATTCATTTGCTGCAGGGTTCAATAAGATTTTTCAGAGGGACAACCTAACGCACACTCTGGTTAGAGTTCTTGGTCACTTTTGATTTCTCATTTCTTTCAGCAAAGCCAGGAGTGTGTCCTCGCAAACGCTGGGACTTTGGACTGTGTGTTGAATCTTGCTCTCATGACTATGACTGTCCTGATAACGAGAAGTGCTGCCCCAATGGATGTGGACGTGAGTGCATGGCTCCTGTCGGAGGTGAGAGATGAACAAAGTAGCAAAGATCACTCCAAAGTGAAAATTATCTGCAAGATATTTCATTTATTATATCATCTACAATAGAAAGAAGAGAAAAAGAGTGATTGCAAAGGATGTCTCTACCTGACTTATTTAATTGAACTATAAAAAAAACATTTACTTGCAACTTCATGAAACTTGACAGGTCAAGAGGTCAGTTTTAAATATGTACGTTGTATATACATACATATATGTGTGTGTGTGTGTGTGTGTGTGTGTGTGTGTGTGTGTGTGTGTGTGTGTGTGTGTGTGTGTGTGTGTGTGTGTGCGCGCACACATAGGACAAAAAGTATGAGATGGAGGTCCAGCACTGTGACAATCAGAGCAAAACAGAAAGACACGATTTTGAAGTCAGATAGGGTGAAAAAGAAAATTAAATCTTGAGTCAATAGACAGAAATGTCATTGAGACGACAGGGAAAGAGGATGAGTGAAAAGACGGCTGGAGCTAATTAAGCGTTTAAAGACATATTTGCAATTAACTTGAAGATATTTTAACAAGCAAGTTTATTTTGCCTCAGACATGTTCAGTTTATAATCTGCTGCTTACTGTTTATTACTAAAATGTGCATGTTTGGTTTGTTTCATTAAACAGCCAAACTGGCAATACACATCAGACTATCTCATTTCCACTTTCACAGCTGACTATGCTTCTGCTTTAGTGTTCACAGTGTCAGCATTTACTTGCTTGTCCTGTAATACTTCTAGGACCACACATGCTGCCTAGGATACCTGCTCAGATCTACATGTTTGATTTCTTCTTAAGAGGCTGTGTATTTAATTAAATCTTTTTAAAATATAAGAAGTAGTTTAAAAATAACATTTAGGCTACATTTACTGCACTCTCTAGTTGGAGTTCTTTGTTTGTACTAATTTATTTTTCCTATCAGCAAAGCCAGGAGAATGTCCTCGCAGCACCTGACTGTTGGACTGTGTGGTGAACTTTGCTCCAATGACAGTGACTGTCCCGAATAACGAGAAGTGCTGCCCCAATGGATGTGGAAATGAGTGCATGGCTCCTGTCGGAGGTGAGAGATAAACAAAGTAGCAAAGATCACTCCAAAGTGAAAATTATCTGCAAGATTTTTCATTTATTATATCATCTACAATAGAAAGAAGAGAAAAGAATGATTGCAAATAGGGCTGCTCGATTATGGCAAAAATGATAATCACGATTATTTTCACTGAAATTGAGATCTCGATTATTTGACGATATTTATTTAACCCTTTAAGACCTACCATAGAACCAAGTCCGCCAGAGCTTATATTATTTTTTTACATGTTGTAGTGCCATTTGTGGGAGCATTTCAAGTTGCTATACATCAATACAACTGTTATAGCCCATATTTTAATAATATGTATGCATTAAGTCCATAGTAACTACATTAATTGCAAAAAAGTGCAATAAACTACAAAAAAAATTGAAAATCGTTTTTGTTTTTTTTACATATATTTCTACTTGGAGAAATTTAAGAGGTTTATCCCTCAAAACTTTAAATACAAAAAAGTTGCAAAAAATAGTTTACAACAACAGGAAATTTATTTTGAGTGTCTTCATAGTTTTATTTTGGAGATACAGCAATTTTTATATACTGCAGGAAAAACAAAAAAACAATCCTATGATGCAAATTTGCAAAGAAAACAGCAGGTGCATCAAAATAAACTATTTCCAGCAGTGCAATTCGAGTTCTAAGCATCCCAGAAACTATTCAGAAAAGTCAAACATGACCAGTATAGGCTTTTAAGGCCTACAAGTAAAAAAAACTACATTTTCCGCGAAAATGACGTCACTTCCGGTTTCGGGCAGGAAATGGCGGAAATGCCATAGTTAGCGGTGACGTCTGTTTTAATGTGGAAGTGTTACGAACAGCTGATCGGATCGGCAAAGCGTGTTTCTGGAATATTATGTTTTTGTTCCTGCAAGCGCTTTTTATGCAATCTTTGCAAAGCTTTATGTGGAAGGAAACCGTGACCGAGGACAAGCTGATGGCATGAGATGTAAGTTTCATATGCAAAAAAAATATTGTGCTAGCTTACAGGTTCAGGTTCTACAGGGATTTAAAAATAGTTACACAAAACGGAGCGTGCAGCTCTGACCGGCTTTAAAGGGTTAACAATAACAATGTATTGAATAATGACTTTAAAAAATAATATAAAATAGTGTGCAACACCACTGAAGTTTTTTTACCTCTCTTTTCAACCAACGGCAGTCACTCTCCTCTCCAAATAACTTCTGCTTAGCTTTCCGAGCTTCCCTCGGGTCCTCTTAATCAGCGGTCTCCAACCTTTTTTGCGCCACGGACCGGTTTATGCCCGACAATATTTTCACGGACCGGCCTTTAAGGTGTCGCGGATAAATGAGGGAGGGGCTAATAATCGGCTCAGTCATTTTTAATGATCGTTGAAAGCCCAGATCGTAATCGTGATTAAAATTCGATTAATTGAGCAGCCCTAATTGTAACAGTTCTACTTTATTTAAGAAAACTATTTAACAATAGGCATACTATGCAACTTCACTGCACTCAAACTTGCAGTACTTGTGTAGTAAATACCATACATGTTGTGTTTTGTGTGTTGTGTGTGTGTGTGTGTGTGTGTGTGTGTGTGTGTGTGTGTGTGTGTGTGTGTGCGCGCACACATAGGACAAAAAGTATGAGATGGAGGTCCAGCACTGTGACAATCAGAGCAAAACAGAAAGACACGATTTTGAAGTCAGATAGGGTGAAAAAGAAAATTAAATCTTGAGTCAATAGACAGAAATGTCATTGAGACGACAGGGAAAGAGGATGAGTGAAAAGACGGCTGGAGCTAATTAAGCGTTTAAAGACATATTTGCAATTAACTTGAAGATATTTTAACAAGCAAGTTTATTTTGCCTCAGACATGTTCAGTTTATAATCTGCTGCTTACTGTTTATTACTAAAATGTGCATGTTTGGTTTGTTTCATTAAACAGCCAAACTGGCAATCACACAGCATCAGAACTCTTATCTCATTTACCACTTTACCACAGCTGATCTATGTCCTTTTCTGCTTTAGTGCCTCCTCCCAAACCAGAATGTCCACAGCATCTTAAGCTTGCTCTGTCACGTAAGGGGTGTAATGACTGTCCTAGAGACCACACATGCTGCGTCTATAATGGTGATGAAGTCTGCGTCCCTTCTGTTCTCAGTACGTCTCACAATGTTTGATTTCTTCTTAAGAGGCTGTGTATTTAATTAAATCTTTTTAAAATATAAGAAGTAGTTTAAAAATAATATTTAGGCTACATTTACTGCACTCTCTAGTTGGAGTTCTTTGTTTGTACTAATTTATTTTTCCTATCAGCAAAGCCAGGAGTGTGTCCTCGCAGGCACCTGACTGTTGGACTGTGCGTTGAATTTTGCTCCAATGACAGTGACTGTCCCGGTAAAGAGAAGTGCTGCTCTACCAGATGTGGACGTAAATGCATGGCACCATACGTAGGTGAGAGATGAGCAAAGTATTCTTGCACACTTAACCCATGTGGGTTAAGACCCAAACTGGTCCCTTTTTTTACGAGGGTCACACATGGGTTAATGAATCAAACTGAGAAAAAAATGAAAAAATAAATAATTTGATATACATTTACTTACGACTGCATGGAACTTGAGAGGGCAAGAGGTGGTTTATTTCCAGGAAAGTTGTGTTACATTTCTTCATGATGACCTGGTTGTTTCGGTACTGCAAACAACCTCATGGTCATTAATTCATTTGAGGGTTTAGTAATCTAATGAGATCACATCTAGAGGGAGAGTTTTTCTTTAATGTTTTCTTATTCTTTTCAGTGAAACCAGGAGTGTGTCCTCACAGACGCTTCGATAACATAATGTGTGGCGAATTTTGCTCTAATGATAGTGACTGCCCCAATAATGAGAAGTGCTGCTTCAGTGGATGTGGTCATCAGTGCATGGCGCCTTACACGGGTGAGATATGAACAAAGTACCAAACACTCCCTAAACACTTTTCAAGTGGTTTAAGGAATTGTGTAACTAAGCCTATTCTTGACTTTGGTGTGTCTGTAAAGACTGGTACCTTGTCTGAGGCCTCCACGTGTGTGCCGAGTACTACTATCATGATGGTCAGGGTCCAGGACATCAGACGTGCTGCAGGACAACCTGTGATTACACCTGCAGTGAGCTCTGCTGCCAATCTATAAAAAAACATCATTAAACTTACTGTGACCATCTCTGCAAATGAATCCAAATCACTTTTTCCTTCTTTAGTGCGATAAGCACTTCCTGTTTCTGATGATAATCATGTCTCTCTGATTTTTTTCAAACTGACATATTTGTCTTACAAATAAAAAACGGTGTGTTGGCATTTTATTCTTGTTCTCTTATTTACAACATGCGAGCTTACTTCAGTGTGAAAATATTGAAGAAACAGTGTTTCACTATGAATAGTATATCTGTTCCATTTCTAATTACATAGTTATAGCATGATGCCTCGTGTGTTTCTTCTTTATATATATACCAATAAAAATTGCCCCTCACCTGTTGAACTGTAGCAAGAATGGAAAGTGCTTATTGTCAGAACACAAAATTATCCAGATGGATTATCAAAACATTCTGTTTCTCACTTGTGTCTCAAACTGGATTTTAAAAGCATTCATTCTTTCACAAATCTTTGTAAAAGCAGACTGCATGACTAGGTGCTTAATTTTATGCACCTGCAATAACTGGACTGAAAACCCCTGAATTCAGAAAGAAAGTGTGGCCCCATACGTTCATCAACATAGTGTACCTGCTTGAAAGTGCTTAAAATTGACACGTCACTAATGTAATGAGTCAACAAATCAAATGCAATACTTTATGACACTCAAGCATTTGTATTTACCTTAAAAAGTGTAACTAAAATTAGTGCAAAAAATGGTAAAGGGCTTCCCCTTTTATCTACAATCACTAGAATCGCTTGGAAAACAAGTGATTTCCTGCTTTGAAATGTAAGAAAAAGTTCCCTCTAAGCCTGAAGGGAAAAAGAAGGAATACACACATGTAAAGGAAGCTCTTAAAACATGTGATTATCCTAATTGGGCTTTTATCAAGTAAGCAAAGATGCACAGAAAAGAAGATCAGAGACCAACTAGGGAGGATAAGAAAGACAAACGCAACAACATTGTCATCCCCTATGTAACCGTTTTATCAGAAAAACTCAGGAGAGTCTTCTCCAAGCACGACATCACAGTTTACTTCAGACCCAGCAACACACTCAGACAAAAACTGGTTCATCCCAAACACAAAACTCCTAAACACAATCTTAACAATGTAGTATATGCTGTACAGTGTAGTGAGAAATGCCTAGACCTCTACATTGGAGAGATCAAACAGCCACTTCATAAACGCATGTCACAACATAGAAGAGCCACCTCAAGACTCAGCTGTCCATCTGCATCTAAAGGACAAAGGCCACTCCTTCGAGGACACCAGTGTTCACATTTGAGAAGAAAGATGGTTTGAAAGAGGAGTGAAAGAAGCCATTTATGTCCACTGTGAGCGACCATCTTTGAACAGAGGCGGTGGTTTACGACACCAACTGTCAGACGCCAATACAGTTTTAAGATCACCTCCCAGACGCCTTAACACCCACTCACCTGATGAGAGGTGTAACATCTTCAAGCAACTTAAAGAAGTCCAGACGCTTTTCTTTCCAAGCTCCTTAGCCATATTGTGAAAAATGCAAAACAAATTGAGGTAGACTAAGTATATTAGTTAAAGACTGATATTCCGCTATTTAGCGCAAGATAAACAAGTTAGTTTGCTGTAATGTCACAGGTTTAAAGCCATAGTTCGGTTATATCAACTAGATATAGTTGATATGTGTGACCCCCCTTTTGTGAGTGTGGACGTTTCCTCTCGTTGCTCTTTAAATGCTTTGCTTCTTTTATTGTTTTTTATCGATTTTTATGCTTATTTTTTCCCTTTTTTCCATATGAGCTTACCTGCGATAGCTTCTGAACACTTATAGATCATTAGGACTAAAGCGTTCTTAACAGAAACAGCAACATTTTTATAGTTACCGTATCTTCAGCGCTCCGTGTGTCTGTGGCCTAGACACAGCTGAAGCCTGATTACAGCGTCTGGGCACCGAATAGCCTCAATAGCCTGGAAAGGTACTAACCGCTAGGCTAACTAGCAACAAGATGCCTTCCCTCTACACAGATGACTACCACAGCCTCCTGCAGAAGATTGCAGTACTGGAGACAAAAATTCATCGCTTAGAAGTAAACGTGGAGGTAAATGGACTGTGTGGAAATGAAACAACCTTGCTTTTGATTCAAAACAATGGCGATGAGCAAGCTAGTACACAGCTAAGGAGCACAGATAACATGACCAAGAAAGTAGACTCTGTGCATTATAATAAATCCTCAAGCAATAATCCCCCCTTGGACTGTCTTGGTGCAAAACCAAGACATAAATCATGTCTCCTGGAAGGGGGAGGACATATCACAGGCAGGGCACAGCAAGCTGAAATCTCTGAAACCGACTGGCCTTCACTTCCTACGAAACAGAAGCTCTTCTACCCCTGTATACAGGAGGAAACAGGACTGGACAACCGTGAATAGGAAGGTTAACAACAAACCTCCAAAACAACTGAATGTGAAACTGCAGAACAGATTTGCTCCACTATCAAAGGACCCTCTATATCGGACAACCATCCATCTAAAAGTAGCAAAGTAAGGTCTGAAAATCTGTTGAAAAGTAAAAGGCCACAGGGAAAGCTAAAGGCTAGGCCTGAAACTCTGATTGTGGTTGACTCTGCCGTAAAGGATGTACAAAGGATGTGCGGTAAGAACACTAAAGTCCTCTGCTTTCCTAAGGATATGGTCAACAACCTGAAGGAGAGAATTCTTCAAATCGCAGATGAATATCCAACTGTGACAAACATTGTTCTGCATACAGGGTCAAACGATGTGTCCAAACAACAGACGAAGGTTCTGAAACCGGACTTTACTGGATTATTAAATACAGTAAACTCTCTGAATGCAGCTGTATTCATCAGTGGACCTTGTCAGGTTTATATTGTTGATTGTCATTTATGCTTAGAAATATCTACTCATATATGCTTAGAGTTTTATAATCAATGTCATGTTGGTAGAGGTTTGATCCTTAGTAGTCTGTGGAGACTCTGTGTGCCTCCCAGATCACTCTGGCATGCACACACAACTTAAGGTCAGGACATACTTACACAACGCACAGGCAAGGTACTCTTTGTGTGTAGGTAGACGTCATATGTTAATGAACCTATGTATATTCATGTAACCTCAATAAAAGAGCAGTGTTACGGGGGAGCGGACGAGAGCAACTGGGATCAAGCGAAGGAACGGCGTTTGTCCAGTTCTCTCCCGTGCACGAGAAACATAAAGAACTTTGCCTACTCGTGTCTTGCTTTTGCTGTGTAGTAAATTGTCTTGAACGTTCCAGCGAATAGGTTTAAGCTACAAACCTATCAGACCTGTACCCGTCAGAGGAGGAGACAAGAGATTCAGCAGGTTGTTTGCACTGAATAAATGGCTTATATCAGCATGTACTGACCACTCAGTGCATTTTATCAACAATTTTAATATTTTTTGGGAATGCAGGCATCTGTTTAAAGCAAATGGATTTAATTTTAACAAGTCAGGGGTGAAACTGTTCACCTCCAACTTGTTTTATTCCATACGTCATCCATCTGTGCTTGGTGCCAAGGCTGAGATAAACGAGGAGTTATCTCATAAAGAGGAACAAACAGTACTGCAAGAACAGACAAAGCCCAGCAGAAACCTCGAGGAGGAGCCTCATCTGCCCCCACCTGGGATGAGCTTCAGAAAGGAGAGACATCAGAGGGGTCCTTATTTGCCTCCAACTCTCTCAACAACACCAACGACCAGGACCAGGAACCATGACCTTCCCTAGTCCCCCAAACCCCTGACAGGCCATCACCCTCCTCCCCCTCCCTTTCTCCCTCCTCGCCACACCTGAAATTCACTGAGGAGATGATGGAGCGGGTCAATGCTGGGCTCAGATCTACCCCCCGACCCAATCCCTTTTTGTCCCCCAGAGCAACCAAAGGTTCGCCATCGAGCCCCACCCTCAACAGAGCAATCGAAGTTACAGTGCCCAGCCTCGCCCCTCTTAGTTCCTCCTTACCACCTTCATGCTCTGTTTCCGCAGTCTGATGTTGTTGTGTGGAGGGTCCAGGCTGCGAGGATTATGGCAGTGGTGACTTTTCCCAGGAGAAGCTGAGCTTCACACTACACACTAAGGTTTTAAAATTTCTGTACTTTTAGGAGACATGTGGCCTGGTCAAAACACAGAGAGCTGCACTCTAAAAGATCTTTAAATATAGTAAACATACCTTGTGTGCCACAGACTGCTCCCAAACACGAGGGGGCAAATAATACCTCTAGAACACTTAAGTTGGCTTTATTAAACGTTAGATCTTTAGCTGGGAAAACATTTTTAATTAATGATTTAATCACTGAGCACAGCCTTGATTTTATGTTTTTAACTGAAACTTGGTTGGACCAAAGTAACAGTGGAGCTGTTCTCATCGAGACGACCCCTCCTAACTAAAGTTTTATCAGTGAGGCCAGGGTGAGCAGGAGAGGAGGAGGGGTTACTGTTTTATTTAATGAATCATTTCAATGTAAGCAGCTATCTCCTAGAAGTTTTCAGTCTTTTGAATATGTGGCTTTACAGCTGAAGGCTCCATCCAAAGTTGTGTTTCTTAATGTTTACAGGCTTCCCAAATACGGCACAGCCTTTTTTAATGACCTCAGTGAACTGCTGTCTGTGATCTGTGTTGATTTCGACTGTGTAATTATTGTTGGGGATTTTAACATCCATGTGGACAACCCTCAGGACAAAGGGACTAAAGACCTGAGTAACACTCTGGGCAACTTTGGGCTGACTCAGCATGTAACAGAGGCCACACATAATAGAGGACACACTCTTGACCTACTGATCTCCAAAGGCCTGAGCATTTCGAATGTTACTGTGTCTGATGTGGGCCTGTCTGATCATTACTGTGTTTTCTTTGAAAGTAAAATTTCAGCCCACACAAATATATCAACAACAGTGATCACAAAACGGTGTATAACTGAATACAGTAGTGAGATATTTAACCAGGTCTTCCCCTTAACACCTGGCCTGTCCAGAGGTTCAGTCAATGAGCTCGTCAATAGCTTCAATGCTAAAATGTTAAATGTAATGGACACTACTGAGTGCATTCTTTAGAATTAAAATACAGACTAACATAAAGTTTGTATTCCCATAAAATAATATTATTTTATCATTACATTAATGTAGAGCAAGGTTCTGTTGGCATGCCATAAAAATGGGTGGTAGAAAGGTTCTTCAAAGAGCTACTTTTACTTTCTTGTTTTGAGTGCATTTCACAGCTGGTACTTTTTCACTTTTACTTGAGTGAAGAAGGTGAATCATTACTTCAACTTTTACTGGAGTAGTTTTTAACAATAGTATCTGTAATTCTACTTCAGTACAGGATGTCTGTACTTTTGCCAACTCTCGTCATGAGACGGTAAGGAATACAGATTAATTTTGTTAAAAAAGAAAGAAAGAAGGAGCACAGGAAAATAGTGAAGAGCCAAGGGGCTGAAGGAACAACTGAGCAGATGTGGAAAGAATAAAGAAAGAGCAGGACACAGCACAGCAAGCAAAGCCACATGAATGGTCCTGTCCACTGTAAACGAGACAAACTGATCCCTGATCTGAATGCACTCTAGATAATTTTTTTCTTGTACCATGACTGAAAATTATGTATTTTTTTTTCCTGTCAAATATCTGGATTGTTTCAAACAGGTGTTAGTTCACATGGGATAAGTGAAGACTTTTTAAAAAAAATTCCCATATGGCTGTCAGAAAGGTGTTTACGGCTTTTAAGCAGCTTTGATGCTTTGAGCTGGTTCTAGGGCCAGCCATGAGTTGCCCATACCACTTGGTCTGATCCATTTTGAAACACGTAGCAACCTATAATAATGGATTGGATTTATATAGCGCATTTCAAGGCACCCAAAGTGCTTTTACAATACCACTATTCATTCACTCTCACATTCATACACTGGTGGAGGCAAGCTACAGTTGTAGCCACAGCTGCCCTGGGGCAGACTGACAGAAGTAAGGCTGCCATATCGCGCCATCGGCCCCTCTGGCCATCACCAGTAGGTGAAGTGTCTTGCCCAAGGACACGACGACCGAGACTGTCTGAGCCGGGGCTCGAACCAGCAACCTTCCGGTTACAAGACGAACTGCCAACTCTTTGAGCCACGACCGCCAATTATGTGAATATTTTGTTATTCACATAATTATCATATGGAGCAGTTGGAGAAATGCTGGGTTTCCCAGCAAAGGGAATAAGGAGGCCCTGGACGGAACGCCCACAGCCAACTGAGGCAGAGGCCGGCCATCCAGGACGTGTTCAGGGCCTGCTGATGCCACAGCATACAAGGCCAAACATTTAAAGAGACTGCTTTTTGTTTTTATGTTTTCGAAATTTTTTCTGAATCATTTGTGATATTTAGCTTGAAAGGTGCTATATAAATACAATTTTACTGACTTACTTAATGTATTCATTTTGTCTCATGATGGGTTTTCATTAGAGCTATTTCCTTACTTCTAATTAGTTTGGAATACTTTTTACAATCGATCTACAAATGCAATAAAAACATGTTGGGTGTTACATCACGAGACAGCAGTAAATTTTGTGTGCTGGCACCATTTTATCAGAGTCAGGGGACCCAATCTCATACTCAGGCAGAAGGAGCTCAGTGAGACTTATCTGAAGATCTGAAATCTAACACACACTAAGCTGTGTGTCAGCTCATGCAGAAACAAATTGTAATTGTGCAGACAATCTCACGAATTTCTCCCTGTTCCTACTGTCACAGATATGACATAGTGATGTTTCGTTGGTATCATCTACAACAGATAAAAGAAGAAAAAAGTGACAAATTTGCAAAAAGCCTGTCTGGAACTTGGTAGAAAGGCTAAACAGACAAGAAATGAAAAAAAAAAATTCAAATGCAGGTATATGGATTTGTTTAGAGTCAAAATATTAATTTGTTATCCTACAAAACAATAATGTCATATACATTAGGTGAGACTGAACAAAATTCTGGTATCAGAAATAATGGATATGCGTACAATAAATACTCGTTGTTAAATGTGATTTAGATAACTTCATAGCTTCATCTGAAGAACAGGAACAATCAAAAAATAAACAAGGACACAGTGTACACAAGGAAGCAGGGGACTGAACAAGATAGTAACAATTATATATGAGAGAACAAGGAGAAATATGTGATTCATTTGATACTTTTATAAATCGTAGGTACCAACAAGGTATAGCAATATAAGAAAGTCAATTGTGGGAAAAATCTTCTTAATGTTCTTCATGAGCATGTCGTTGTTGTCTTGCTATATGAAGAAGATATTAAATACTGTGTAGATGTTTTACTAAGATGAAAACACAAGATTCATATTATCATTTCAGCAACAAGGAACGTAAAAAACTAAATGTTTCTGATATGACACCTTATCAGAGAGAATATAAGACTACAAGCACAACGATCCAGCATCATTCAACTGGCCACTCAGTCAGTGGTTGTGCACATTCTTTTGAGCAAGAGGTGAACATGGACAAAGGCTGTTCTACAGTTTGTGTATTGATTGTAGCACTTTGTGCATTGGTGCACTTTGGCACTGTTTTTTCCACAGTGAAAACTGGTGGCATTTTCACAGGTGAGTTTGGGTTTTTCTTTTTTACTTAGACGTGTTCAGCTCATAACTGTCTTCTTAACAATTCTTTCTGAAATGTGCATGTTTGTTAGTTACTTATATGGTCTGTTTGGGGACCACACAGCATCATAACTTTTGGCCCAATTACCACACCTCATTCATATCCTTTTCTGCTTCACTGCTTCTTCTAAAACCAGAATGCCCACGCCATCTTAAGCTTGATCAGTCATGTAAGGGGTGTGAGCACTGTCCTAGAGACAGACTTCTTGAGAGAGGGTGTGGAGTAAATTTTTGGTCAAACATTCTCAGTTTATAAAATGAGAGATAAAAAAGTTTCTTCAAGTTAAATCCACATTTACCACCCTCATTCCGTGAAACAGAATTCAAGAAAAACAGAAGAGGAAGAGGAGAGAGGAATTTGCTGCACTTCAGGAATAGCTGCTGCACAACAAAATACTGTGATAGTGACTGGCAGGGTCAATGCATGCAGACAATATAACAGCATGCAATCTTTGACCACAAAAATGAAACACAGCACTAAAGTAAAGTGAAAGGAAAGTGAGATCAAACAAAAACACTGCCTGCTTACAGATCCTTTCTGAAATGTGCATGTTTGATTTTGTCAAACAGCCAATTTGGCGACTGCAAAGCATCACAACTCTTATTCCTCACAGCTCATCCGTGTCCTTTTTTGCTTTTCTGCTTCTTTCAAACCCAGAATGTCCACGCCATCTTAATCTTGCTCTGTCACGTAAGGGGTATGAGGACTGTCCTAGAGACCACATATGCTGTGTCTACGATGGTGAAGAAGTCTGTGTCCCTCCTGTTTCCAGTACGTGTCACAATGTTTAATTTCTTCTTAATAGGGTGTGGTAAATCTTTCATTGAGTCTTCTCAGTCAGTAGAATGAGAGAGAGTCTAAAAATCAAATAAATTCCAGTAAAATCCACATTTACTGCACTTTCTGATTAGAGTTCTTTGTCTGCACTAATTTCTCTTTCCTTCCAGCAAAGCCAGGAGTGTGTCCTCGCCGGCGCTTGCACAACAGGCGTTGTACTAAATCTTGCTCTAAAGACAGAGACTGCCCCAATAATGAGAAGTGCTGCTCCAACGGATGTGGACATGAGTGCATGGCTCCATTGTCAGGTGAGATTGAACAAAGTGACATTTTAACAACCAAGTTTCTTTTGACTCAGATTTGTTCAGCTTATAATCTACTGCTCACGGTTTCTTTCTAAAATGTGCATGTTTGGTTTGTTTTGTTAAACAGCCAAACTGGCAATCAGACAGCTTATAGAACTTTACTCATACCACTTTACCACAGCTGATCCATGTCCTTTTCTACTTTACTGCTCTCCTCCAAAACCAGAATGTCCAAGCCATCTTAATCTTGCTCTGTCACGTAAGGGGTGTAATGGCTGTCCTAGAGGCCACATATGCTGTATCTGTGATGGTGAAGAAGTCTGTCGTCCCTCCTGCTCCCAGTACGTGTCACAATGTTTAATTTCTTCTTGGTGTGTGTGGCAAATCTTTGGTTAAACCTTCTCAGTTAATAAAATGACAGATAATAACATTTCTTCAAGTTAAATCCACATTTACCACCTTCTGGTTAGAGTTCTTTGTCTGCACTAATTTCTCTTTCCTTCCAGCAAAGCCAGGAGTGTGTCCTCGTCGGCGCTTAGACTTTGGACATTGTGCTGAAATTTGCTCTAATGACAGAGACTGCCCCAATAATGAGAAGTGCTGCTCCAACGGATGTGGACATGAGTGCATGGCTCCATTGTCAGGTGAGATATAAACAACATGACAGTTATCCACAGGATATCAACTGCTGCAACACATATCACGTTGCAAGTTGCAAAAAGGCTGTCACTGACCATTAATTTGTGCAGACATAATTAAATATAGGAAAATATATATACTAAGATTAATAATTTAATATATGTATACTTGGGATTGCACGAAATTTGAGAAGGTGAAAACTTGTGTTAATCTCCTTTTTTTGCTTGGGGGTAAGTTGGGTACTGAACAACAAAAACCATTAAGACTCTTGTAATGATGCAGTATCAGACTGCACAAGTCTTGTCTGATATATGGGAATTAGAGTGTAAATGTGGGGTGGTAATATGAATTTAAACTAGACTTCTCCAGGAAACTCATTCCTTAGCAGGAAGAAAGAGGTCCAATAGCATCATTCCGTGAAACAGAATTCAAGAAAAACAGAAGAGGAAGAGGAGAGAGGAATTTGCTGCACTTCAGGAATAGCTGCTGCACAACAAAATACTGTGATAGTGACTGGCAGGGTCAATGCATGCAGACAATATAACAGCATGCAATCTTTGACCACAAAAATGAAACACAGCACTAAAGTAAAGTGAAAGGAAAGTGAGATCAAACACAAACACTGCTGCTCATTATAACATTTTTCAGTTGTCTGGTTTCATTACTAATATTAAACACAAGCTATGTACCATACACGCCACTATTGGAGCATGGTTGAAAATGAAAGTGTGTCTTAAATGACATGTTATCAGAGAGACTGCAAATCTGTGATCACAAAGACCCGGCATCCACTAACTGGCCTTCTCAGCCTGTGGTTGTGCACTAGTACACAGACAGTATTTTTGCACACAGGAGCACATTCCTTTGAGCAAAAGATGAACGTGGACAAACACTGATCGACTTTGTCAGTTTTTTGTTTGTTCTGCTAGAACTTACTGCAAATTAACAGGCAAATTTTTTGTTTTGGTTTTTTTGGGGGGGGCTCAGATGTGCTCAATTTATAATCTGCCTGCTTACGGATCCTTTCTGAAATGTGCATGTTTGATTTTGTCAAACAGCCAATTTGGCGACTGCAAAGCATCACAACTCTTATTCCTCACAGCTCATCCATGTCCTTTTTTGCTTTTCTGCTTCTTTCAACCCCAGAATGTTCACGCCATCTTAATCTTGCTCTGTCACGTAAGGGGTATGAGGACTGTCCTAGAAGCCACATATGCTGTGTCTATGATGGTGAAGAAGTCTGCGTCCCTCCTGCTCCCAGTACGTGTCACTATGTTTAATGTCTTCTGAAAAGGGTGTGGATTAAATATTTGGTTAAATCTTCTCAGTTAATAAAATGACAACTAGTTTAAAAATAAAGTTTGCACATACAAATTGTGCTAGATCTTGCTTTGATGACAGAGACTGTCCCTTTATTCTGAAGTGTTGCTACAATGGATGCGGACATGAGTGCATGGTACCAGACATAGGTGAGATACGAACAAAGTGACAGTTATCTAAAGCAGCGGCCCCCAACCTTTTTTGCCCCACGGACCGGTTTATGTCTGACAGTATTTTCACGGACCAGCCTTTAAGGTGCCGCGGATAAATACAACAAAATAAAACCAGTACCAGTACCCAAAAAAGAAAATTTATTCATAACACACTGGAAAAGAGCCAGGGAAACCGATTTAATGATAAAAACGATAAAAAAATAACGAAACCCTAAAAAAACTATAAATTTCACAACCGAGCTTCAACTCTCGCAGCCCGGAACCAAACAACTCACAGGCCTGTACCAGTCTGTGGCCCAGGGGTTGGGGACCGCTGATCTACAGGTTATCTGTTATCATGTCATCTACAATAGGTAGAAGTCAGAAAAGGCTGTCTCTAACAATTGTGCAAAAAAAAGAGAAAATGTTTAATTTCATACACATTTCCTTGAGATTGTATGAAACATGAAAGATTGAGAACTTTAAAAAAAAAAAAGCTTGTTAGTCTTCTTTATGACCATGTGTTTCTTTGTGTACTGCAGACCAGAGATTTACTGCTGTCATTTTGTGTGAGACTGTATAAGTTTTGCCAGATATTTGGGAACTGGAGTGTACACGTTGGGTGGAATCTAACTTGAAACGAGAGATTAATCAACTGGATCTCCATGAGACTCATACCTTAGTTGAGAAGAAGGAAGTGCAGTAAGCATCCTTCAGAGAAACAGGGTGGCCACAGCCTAAAACACAATCAAATGTTTCACAATTTCCAGAAACTCTTAGAAGAGATTTTTATTAATTTACTGCAATTCAGGGTTCAATAAGGTCAAAGGATATCTTTCAGAGGGACAACCCACCACACTCTCTGGAGTTCTTGGTCTATACTCATTTCTCTTTCATTTCAGTAAAGCCAGGAGTGTGTCCTCACAGACACTTGGGCCACGGACGTTGCCTTGAATCTTGCTTTAATGACAGAGATTGTCCCTTTTTTGAGAAGTGTTGCTCCAATGGATGCGGACATGAGTGCATGGCTCCCTACAAAGGTAATAGATGCACAAAGCAGCCAAGACCCTTTAAATAATTCACCAAGTGGTTAACGGTATTTTGTAACTAATCATATTTTTGGGTTTGGTGTATCTGTGAAGGCTGGCTGCTGCCCCCTGCCTGAAACCACCTCCATGTGTGCTGGTCAGTGTCCAGGAGAGCAGAAGTGCTGCAGGACATCCTGCGGTCATGCGTTCAATGAGCCCCGCTGATTAGAAAGTACCAAGTCAATCTACATTAAACATCTTTACACATTTACTATGGCCTTCTCTTTAATGCAATACTTTTTTTCTTTCTGTAATATTATTAAGACTTTCTTTTGCTGATGATGACAAATGTTTTTGTAAAGGCAGACTGCGTGGCTAGGCACTGATTATATGCGTCTGTGACAACGAGACTGAAAAAAACACCTCAATTCAGAGAACAGGGAGTGTGGCTCCAGACCTGCTGCTTTTACTTAAATCTACTTCAAAACAAGTGATTTCCTGTCCCATTAAAGATAATATTCATTACTTTTAGGTATCTTTCTTTGTATTTGTTTGTTTGTGAGAGTATTTGGATATCGTGTTTTGGACAAAGTTTGCATTTAAAAACAAAAAAGAAACCATGTTGAATTCACTCTGACATAATTTATCTCTGTATCTGATTGTTCCTAGTAGGGAGATTGAAAAGAAGCAATAATCTCTCCATGTAAGCTCAGAGGCTTCAGAGGGCAGTGAGATATCAAATCAGAATAACCTGATTTGTATTTTATTACAGTTTCCTCACAGTAACATCATGCACTATGATTTAATGGAGTTACAGTTTCAAACTTCCAGAAAACAAATCTATGTTCAAACTAGAGCTGCAAAAAATAAAAATTAAATAAAAACACCGACACTGCTATCAACAAAAAAGGTATTTTAAGCACAGCTATCGAGTTTTTATAGTCAGTGCATGCCTGGTTTAGACACTGCCCATTGGTTTACATAAACAGATATAATATGATGATATTCCATTTATAGTCGCATATAACGTTTGAGCATAAGCTAAGAAACAAGTCAAGATAGGAACACGAAAATATGTATCTGACAACCTCCTTTCTTACAGAAAACATGACTCATGTTCGTCACTTTGTGGTGAAAGGAAGCAGCGGCATCAACCCTTACTATACCATTCTCGTGTGATTCCTCTGGGAAGTAAAGTATCTTAAATTAGACTGTGAGTGATATGGATTTTGGCCCGTCAAGCTGTGGGCCCTCCTCCACAGCAGCCTCAAGCTAACAAGCTAATTAATAGGAGGCAACAAAAAAGAAAGCTTAAGTGGGAGACTGACTGTGGTGCACCTTTACACCACAGATAAAATACATTATTAACACATTCAAAGCAAATGTAACATTTTTTCTTCTGTAATTGGCAGCAATTAACAGCATCCAACATTATTAAGGGTAATTTTGTGCTGAGGATGTTTAACACTGTCATAGATTTGTATAAATGATACCTGCTGCTAAAGCAAAACACACGGCTGTTTCCATTATTGCTCCCCATTCTGTGCAGGGGAGGAATTTAAGTGCTAAAAGCGAAAAATCAGAAGTAAATAGCATGAACATTTCACAGTTTGTGAGCACACAAAAACTGCAGAAAAATGAGTTTGTCAGAGTGGCCATATGTAGAATTTCACACACTCAATTTGGAAAGCTCTGTTGAAACAACCAGTTAAAATCAATCGTTGACATCTTTCAGTCCTATTTCCAAATAAAAAATATTTCAGTTTTAATCATTTGGCTTGTTTTTATCAAGCCAAATCTTCATTTATTTATTCTTTACTTTGTTTATCATTTCATTTTATCAGTGCATCCCTAGTTTTAGCACAGCCTACTAATTTACATAAATATGATACTATGTGACAATATTCAGTCAATAACAGCATGTAATGTTGGAACAAAAACTAATAAATAAGTTAGATTGGAAGACTAAGACATGTTCTCCACCTTGTGGAGAAAAGAAGTAGCTGCTTGAGACTTACCAACACTTCTTGTAGAATTTCTGTGGGAAGTAAAATATTCTGCAATGGACTGTGTGGTCTGCACAGTGGTGTACACGCCAAGCACACACCCAACTAAACTGAACAGAGAGGCCATCCTCCACATCACCCTTAAGCTAACACGCTAAACAATAGTTATTTTGTAGAGTCATAAAGTCATCTCATCCAGTAAATGCTGTAAATCATCACCAGAGCATAAATGATTAGTCTTAAACAGAATCATTATTAATATTGTGGACACCGTAAGTATGTAATTGATGTGTGATTTAAACAATTTAGGGCCCAACACTGACCCCTGGGGGACACCAGAAGCATAACTTCCTTCTCTAATATATGAGCAAGAATTCATTTAACTTCACAAACTGGTGCCAGTCTCTTTAAAAAAAAAACTCTGAAATTACTTTAAAACTCCTCATCTGATCTATTGTATCAAATTTGTTTCTGAAGTGTGTAAATAATCCATCCGCATATTGTTTTTGTTTTTTTGTCTATGGAGTCGAATAATGCTAGATGGAAATGCGGGCTGGTTCACTGGTTAAAAAGAAAATAAACCGCTTCGCACATGTCAGATACTGTTGGAGGAGAAATTGATTCATTTGCTGGAAGCACTAAAATAAAGTGAAGGTAAAATGAGGTCACATGACAAAAACTATTGGTCATCATAACATTTTTCAGCTGTCTAGTTTTATTACTAACATGTAAACAACATTAGAAGATTCATACCACAGTACATGCCATATTTTATCTGTAACTCTACAGGCACAAGGACCCAGCATCCTCTAAGTGGCCTGCTCAGCATGTGGCTATGGACTAGTGTACAGTATTTTTGCACACAGCAGTACATGTTTTGAGCAAGAAGTGAACATGGACAAACACTGGTGGACAATTTGCGCATTGGTTTTAGCATTTTGCGCATTAGCGCACTTTGACACTGTTCTTTCAGCGAGCGCTTGTTGCAAAATAACAGGCAAGTTTCTTTTGACTCAAATTTCTTCAACCCATTATCTGACTGCTTACGGATTCTTTTTGAAATGCGCATGCTTGTTTGTTTAGCAACCAAATTGGTAACCGCTCAAAATCATAACTCATGTCTCCTTTGGCACGGCTGATCCGTAATGCTTTTCTGCTCTTTTCTTTCAAGTCTCAGCTGTCTAAAAGTCAGTCAAAAGGCCCGTGTACCACACTCTCCCGTTCTATCTCTTTGTCTATACTGATTTCTCTTTTCTTTCAGTAAAGCCAGGAGTGTGTCCTCGCAGGCGCCTGGGCTACGGACGGTGTGCTGAATTTTGCTCTAATGACAGTGACTGCCCCGACAAGGAAAAGTGCTGCTCCAACGGGTGTGGACATGAGTGCATGGCACCGTACGTAGGTGAGAGATCAACAAAGTAGAAAACACCCCCATATACATCCCAAGTGTTTAAAGGTATTTTGTAACTAATCATATTTTTTTGACTTCGCTGTGATCAGTGAAGCCTGGCGGCTGTCCTCTGCCTGAGACCACCCCCATGTGTGCTGAGTACTGCTATCACGATGGTCAGTGTCCAGGAGATCATAAGTGCTGCAGGACTACCTGTGGTCATGCATGCAGTGAGCCCTGCTAAGGAAGTCCATCATCTACATTAAACATCTCTCCTTTTTAAACGGACACATTTTTCCCACAAAGAAAAAGTAGCCTGTTTGCATTTATTCCTTGTTCTCTTTTTTTTTTTACCGCGTGTATTCTTACTTCAGTGTGAAAAACAGTATATCTGTTCCATTTCTAATTAAAGCCTTAGAGTATGATGCATTGTTTTTGTTGTTTTTGTATGACCAATAAAAATAGCCCAATCCTGTATAACCTTGCTATAAATGTGTTTTTAATAGATCCTGGAATTCACAAGCCTGTCGGGTTTTTTGAGTCCGTTTCCCTGCAAAAACAAATGATGAAATGTAGCAAGAATGGAAAGTGTTTCCTGGCAGAACACAAAATGATTCAGATGGACAATGAAAACGTTCTTAGTTTTCAGCATTGTTGCACACTTGTGTCTCAAACTGTATTGTGCTGTTTGTTATTTAAAGAACATTTTAGTTTTTTTTATAAATTACTAGTTTGACCAAAGAAAGTTGCAACAATCAGTGACAAGTTCCTTTACTATATCATGTCCGAGGAGAAAACTTGCAGTTTGTAGCAGATCACATATGAACATCAAATTCTACATGTGGAAAGCTGCTTTTCGCTTTGTTTTTGTTCCACACTGTTGGCAAACACACAGGGGTAAGAACTGCTGACCTGGCAAATACAGAGAGACGTCTTTGTTTGTTCCTTCAGAGTCTGTCATCAGTGAGGCCAACTATGTTTACACAAAAATGTGGGCACTCAATGGGAAGTAATAATGTTCCAACTCCTGTTTAATTTAGAGTTGGGAACTTTCATGTCTAGTAATTTGAAAAATGATGTTTGGCAGTTTATTGAAAAGGCAGTGACAGTAATAACAATACAGAACTGCTACTACTGCACATTCACCCAGTGTATATACTATATGTATGTATATATATATTTAAATAATGTTCTTCCTCTACACCCCCCCCCCCAATTTTTGCACATGTCGAGGAGCGTGTCAGGCTACATTTCACTGTATGTTATACTTGTATAACTATGCATGTGACAAATAAAGAACCTTGAACTTGAACATAGTCAAACATTCAAATGGAGCTCACTGTTTTACAGAAATATTTTTCTAGGAAGGAAAACAAACAAAAATGTGTGTAAAAGGCTTAAACAAAAGTAAATGCATGGCAGTATTTTATTTAGTATTTAACATCTACAGGAGCTGCTCAGCCATAGAACCCAGGACCACAAAGCTCCAGGCACAGTTTTAGTGCTGATGTTAATCCCAGCGGTGTTTGGAGTTCTGCAGTTGAGTCAGCAGTTTTGGTGACTTTTAGACTGTATCACCTCAGCCCTTGGTGACACCCCTCTGAAGATCTACATGTCCAACAATTTGTGGCCAAGTTGTTGTGGCTCCTAGATGCCTCCACTTTGCTATATCACCACTTCACCTGATCATTAAATACCTTAAGAGGGAAAAAATTTCATGAACTGACTTGTTGCGGTGGTGGCATCCTATTACACTACCATACTCAAATTTAGTGAGCTCTTTAGAACAACCTTTAACAAATAAAGGCAGACTGCTTGGCTGTTACCTGAAGCAACAGGAGTGAAAGCACCTGAATTTGGAGAAGAGGAAGTGTGGCTCTGTAGTTTTGTCCATAGTGTATTTGTTGTAAGACAACTAAAGTGCTTAAAACTGATGACTTAATAATTCAACAAATAAAAGGTTTTTATTATGCTCAGACAATTGCATTCAACATTCAAAACTGTAACCAAAATCAGTGCCAAATAAATATTTGGTAAAGGGCAGCTCGGTTTTACTTGACAACAATTGATATCCTGTGTAGAAACATGAAAAAAGTTCATTTTATCACTTTTAAGTCTATACTTTTTAGAATTCGTTTCACACAATATATGACATCATACTGGAATGAGTTTTAGAGTTTTTAATGCGCTGTCATGAATGAAGTTTCAATTAAGATAAGCAGCCTAAAAAGAAAAACGTTAGGACATCCTGAAGTGACTTTGACTTGGTGTATCTCATAGTGGCGGAGATCCCAAATAAGTCTTAAGACCACTTAGAGACCAAAAGCGATTATATTTCTGAGTCCAGAGGCTTCAGAGTGCAGTGAGTTATGAAATCACTGTTTCCTCAAAGTATCAGTATGCCTTAATGACAGTGTGGCATTATGTTGTAATGGGTTATAGTATTAAAAATCCAGAAAACAAACAAACAAACAAACAAACAAAAAAACCCTACCCCAAATCCCCAAAACGAAGGGGTATTAAAACACTGCAGCCCATTGCTCAGCTTTGGTTCCTCATATTTATCAAACAAGAACAAATCTTCAACTTCCCGTCTACTTTTTTTGTCCTTAGGCAGCAAGAAATTGCTTTAAAACACAAATGTATCCATCTTATTCAATTCAACAACAAAATCCTCAAGTTGACAGGTTTTAAAACATTCATAGCAGTTCTTCCCTGTATATTATATATTTTCCAGTAGTTTCAACAAAAGGAAAACTTCCTTTCTAAAAGATGCCACTTGGCATGCTCACAAAGCCTCAGAGTGGCGGGACGCCCCTCATCCTTCGGATGACGTTAGCGATCCGCTTGGCCAGTCCTGGGTTGGGCTCTTCGATTTGGAAGCTCCGCGTTAGTAAGTTGTATAGAGAGCCGTAGCCCACAGCCACTACAGTGCATGTCAGGCAGATGACATTGTAAGGCATGCTGAAGTCTGGAGTGGGCAGATTGACAAGCAGAGGCTCTGTGTAGATGCGGACAAAGTAGCTGGACTCTTCTTTACAGGGAAAACTGGTGAGAGAGGAAAATTTGATCATCCCATTTTCTAGATAAACGTGTCTGTGCAGAAACTCAAACAGTCCGTGAATAAAACACAATAAATGTCATTTTCATCAAGATGGGTGGGCGATGGGGGCTGTGTACTTACAAGCTGCTGAAAAGTGGTCGTTCCCGAGTGCTGTTTGTATGCATGGCGACAGTGCTTGGTACAAGAGAACTAATAACTGAAGATCTAAATGTTAAAGACAAGGACAAGGACTTTAGTCAATAAAAGTCTGAAATTAATTTAAAATCCTAAAAAATAAAAAGCAAAAATCATTTGAGAAGCAACACATGTCACACATGCAATCCTACGTGCATACCCGACATAGAAACCGTGGTTGGGATCGGGTGGGTATTCAGTCCATTTGAGCAGAGCCCTCTCAAACTGCACTGTAACCTCAGTCACAGAGTTTGGAGGAAGCTGGATCAGCATCTCCAGCAGGTGGGGCTTCACACGATCCTTAGATGGCTCGTAGTGGATGTAGCCTAGCAGAGGAAGAAAAAAAAACAAGTGACCAATAATACACTGATTAAATGTTCAAACTAGAACTGCACAAACACAAAGGCTCTGGCATCTGCTGTCAAGAAAATTGTATTTTAAACAACTATCAACCCAGAGTTTTTACAGTCAGTGAATCCCTAGTTTAGACACAGATCACTGGTTTATATAAATTACATAATGGGACAATATTTAATCAATAACAGCATGTTATTCAAGTTAGAAATGAACACCAACATATGTATTTGATAACTGTTTCTTACAGAAAACATGACTCATGTTCTCCACCTTGTGGCAAAAAGAGGCAGCTGCATGAACCCTTACTAACCATTCCTGTGGGTTAATGTGGGAAGTCAAGTATCTTACAGTGGGCTGTGAACAGCATGACCGACTTACCCCTGTAAGGTCAAATGTATCATATTTGAAACATGAGTTTTTGAGACCTTTACATCATTAGTGTGATTTCTTTAACCTTAAACCCTTTACACATTTTTGCTGAAGATGAATAGTCATCAATAAATTGCACAGAAATGCTGGTGTAGCAAAAACCATACAAGTCAAAACTCATAATTCATGACAGGTTCAATAAAAACTCCAGCTTCAAGAAAATTAGATTTTTCTGGCAATTATTTCATGGTTCAGATTTTACAGGGTTAAGTAAAAGACTGAATAATAATATCCATCGTTGAAGAAGTCAACATCAAAAATCAAAGCCTGCAAAGATGCTCACATGTCCACAGGACATTTAAGCTAACTAACAGAAGGCAACAAAAATGAAAATGAAATCAAGTTGAAGGCACACAAGTTCAGCTCAAGTGGGAGTCTGACTATCGTGCACCTCTACAAAGTGTAAAGAGAAGGCGGTGTATTCATTTGCCACTGGCAATTTGTGCTTTTAAAGAACATAATTAGCATCATCATGTTGATGTTTGAATCAAGGTATGGGGGTCAGAGGCAGGGGACAGCACCTTCAGAAAGCCACTAAACTGAAAAGATGCACTCATGGACTGTTTCTTTGAGCTGTAAGTGCAACTTTCATTTTTATGTGCAGGTGTTTCATGGCAATAGACAAAGCTGCAAGAGTCAACTAAACAACATGATGTAAGATCTACTTTTCTTCTTTTATTTAATTAAACTTCCTAAGAAATGATTCAGTGGTCATATTCAGATCCATGAAACAGTCCCAGTAAGACTTGCAGACATAGAAACAAAAAAATAAAGATGTATTGCTTTACCTTTATATCAGATCTATTCTACCAAATCAGGCTTGTTAAATAGGTTGCGGGGAGGTGGCTGAGTGATAGTCTTCTAGTTGAATTTGTGATATGCTAATGCTAAACAGCGCAAAGGCTAATAAGATTTTTTTGTAGACTGGTTGAGGTCCTCTCCGTGAATCGCTACCTTATCGTGGTGGAGGGGTTTGTGTGTCCCAGGGATCCCA